GGTTGAGGCAGGTTGAGGAGAAGGTATGTAGCTCTTGAGTCAATGTCAACCTGGAGAGTTGGAAACCCTGTTTCAGGGGAGAGAAAAATATCTAGTGTTCCCTAAACTAATTTTGTAAAAAGAAATATTATTTTTATTGATTTTTGAAATAAAATACTTTAATTCACAGATATATATTTTTATAAAAGAAGATGACAAGTTTTATATAGCCACCTACATCCTAATCAAGTTTGCAGGGGGAAATTCGATAGTTTAACTTTCTCTGTGGAATGAGATAACTTGGTTATGTTGTAAAAAAAAATCATACCAAGAACAAGCTCAATACAGAGCTCCTGTATTCTTCTTGAATCTCAGCTCTTCCAAATATTTTTATGGTATGTTTAACTAAAAAGGAAAATAAACTTTTAAAAAGTCAACAAGTAAACACTAACTAAAAATATACCCTGAACAATCACCAACAAAAGCAGGTCTGGTGGTGCTAGCCTTAATTCCGTGCGCAGGAGGCCTTTGGATCCCAGTGACATGGAGGCCAGCCTGGTCTAATAGGATAGCCAGGGCTACATAGTGAGACCCTGTTCATACAAACAAAACAAGAACAAGAACCCCACTCCCAACAACAACAACTAAACCAAAACAAACAAAAAGAGTGAACAATACCCACACAAAATCACTAAACACTGCTTCTGGTATATCCCCGTAATTCCCAGCTACCTCATTTTTAAAAGAAAGAAACAAAACTCTTGATTTCTTGCTTTTCAGAGATTTCCAACAAGATTACAGACCCTAACGTGGTCTGTGAATGGAGGCTCTCAAGTCTTTGAAGGAACTTTAGGCATGAGATGTAACTCAGTCGCTGGAGAAACTCCCCGAGGCCAGGAGTGCAGGTAGATTGCTGGGCAATCCTTAGCAGGACTATGGCAAGACAAAGACAAAGACCGCTCCATTTTTGTTTGTCCTGAGACTCAGAGCACCGGCTCTAAACTCTCCCTACAGTATTTCTTTCCTTTTGAGGATGTCCAGCCTGGAAGATGTCTCTTGTGGACCTAAACAGATATTTTCATCCCACAGCTAGGAGGGGGAGGATGCTGGTCGCCTCATCGCTGGCAGTCGTGAAACGCACCTTTCCATACAAAGGGAATGTGTGGAGTCACACTGATTTCTCGTTCAGTGAAAATTCAGTTCACTTGGAGTGCCAGTGACTCGGTCAGCGTGACAGTCCATCTCCGAATCAGACTTCTTTAAACACATTCTCCTCTTCATCCCCTGATACAGAGCAGACCCCACTTATCTATGTCAGGCACCCCCCAAAATTCCTTTTCCCAAAGTTGGGTGTTTGGACAAAAGTCAGCACTTCCTCCGGGGCTTGAAGAAAGTTCCCACTTGCTAAAAGGAATCATTCTGCCTACCTCTGGCAAAGAGACACATAACTCTTCATTAACATAAGCCTGTGGGGTTATTAGCATGTCTCTGGCTCCTCAGTCCCTACTCACAGGCCCCCACCTTAGCTCACAGGCTGCCTTGCTCCCTGCTACCCATTTCTCCTATAATCCAGGAGATTTTTCTCTTTCTCTGCTTCTCTCTGACAGCCTTGGCAGTTTGGAATAAACTTTTCCGTTTTCACCCACGGAGTGGTTATTTTCGTTTCCTTACAGCACCCGTTTTTCATTCAATCTAGAGAATACTGAAGAGGGAGCCACATACAGAGCCTGGAAATCAGTATCCACAAACTGTGGCCCTCAGATTTTTCACCCAAAGTCTCAGTGAAAAAGCTTACTAAAGGAAATAAGGAAATCAGATGCTCCAGGGGATCAGATGCTCCAGTAGAACAGATGCTCCACTGGATCAGATGCTCCTCTGGGTCACAGTTCTAGATGGAGGTGGTGGAGTCAGATAGGGCTGTAATCTCTTAGAAACGGCATTTTATTAAGTAATACAAAGGAATTTTAAAGGTTCTTGCTTTTTTGTTTTGTTTTCGAGACAGAGTTTCTCTGTCTAGCCCTGACTGCCTGGAACTCGCTCTGTAGACCAGGCTGGCTTTAACCCAGAGATCTGCCTGCCTCTGTCTCCCCAGTGCATGTGCCTCTATGCCCAACTAAGCAGGTGTTTTTTTTTTTTTTAAGGCTACACTAGAAACACTTGAGACTATTCCAGATCATATGTAGATCTTACTGGTACCCAAAACAATCAGTCCCCAGCATTATAAGTGAGTGTGTGTGTTGTGTGTGTGTGTTTCTGTACATCTCATGAACTATTTTATAAAGTATGCACCTCTAATTAATGTTTTCATTTATGTTAAGTTTTATACCACACAAACAAGTCATGCTAATTCTACAAAGTTAGAAAATACAGATAAGTTACAAGAAAAGATTGAAAACATGAATGTGCATGGTGTTTTTCTTTTCGAACAGAAATGACAAGAGTCCAAGGCAGAGGGTTGTTGAATGTTCAAGGTCAGTTTAGGCTACAGTGCCCTGTCCAATAATTAAGTAAATATTTTACATAAAATTCTGTAATTCACCTTTATTCTGTAGCACTCTTGTGAGTATATTCCAAGACTTTAAAGTATAAATATGTGCATATGCACATATCATTGTTCATACTGATTCCACATTGTTTAATCATATGACGTTGCGGTACCTTTGTAGCAGGCTGCTGAAGTGTAGTTATGCCATCTAATGAAGGCATTCCTGAGAATACTTCAAGTGCTAAAACTATCTTGAGTGAAGCTGGTCCCTGAGATAGAGGTTAACGGCCAGATCGTGAACTGCTGTCTCCCACATCTGCACACAGGTACCCAGCCTTCTTGTCCCAGCCCTCCAGAGCTGCGTTCCTATGTGAACTGCTGTCTCCCACATCTGCACACAGGTACACAGCCTTCTTGTCCCAGCCCTCCAGTGCTGCGTTCCTATGTGAACTGCTGTCTCCCACATCTGCACACAGGTACACAGTCTTCTTGTCCCAGCCCTCCAGAGCTGCGCTCCTATGCACCTCCCAGCTGAGGGTTTTTCTTGCCCTTAGAAACTCTAACCAACAAGAGGTCCAGGCTGCTTCCCACTAGTGTGTTGGGACAGCCCCGCCAACAGTTAATAATGACCTCATTCAAATTATTCAGGCCTCTTGGGGGGTTTTTTTTCTCTTTAGATATCCCAGATAACTTTCTTTTGTTTACCTCCTCTGTCATGACTTTACAATATTATAGGCAAAGATAAGATGAATATGTTAAAATGTAGCTCTTTGCATATTTACTGCTTTTCTTGTATGCACAGCAAAAAACCACACATCTAGGCCTTTCAGAGTGCACCTTTTCAATGTTTCTGATTCATACTGACAAATGACTTTCCAGAGAGATCACATGCTCTCCATTCCAGACAGAGGCCCTGGGCTCCTAATCCCCTGCAGCCTGGTGTTTCTGTCTTTTGAGCTGAGTGTCTTACATGACTCAGCATTTTTATTACATTTTTTTCTAACTTTCGATGGACATCACGCTTCTTCTAAGACTGGTTTTATTTTTCAGATTATAAAAATACGTTTACATGGGTACATGGTAGAAAAGTATAGGAGAAAGCAATGTCCCCAAAATACCACACAAATTATTGACCCTTGGAGATAACACTTGCCACTTTGAAGACTAGCCTCCCCAATAGCTGCCTGTGCATCTTCAGAGAGAGAGATGAAGAGAGACGCTTCCTTCTTGTGCCAGCTGTCATTCTGAGGTAGCACAGCTTAGCATCTGGTTCCAAGGACACTTCTGGCGCTTTTTCTAGAGAGTTAAAGATCAAGACTGCAGTTCTGGGCATGGATGAGTCTATGGGTTCTGAAGAAGGGAGACACGCTTAGGCTCCGCTTTCTTATGTTTGTATGGGTAAGACCATAAAAAGACTCATGATAATGAACAAAAATGCCAGGCAGCCTCCCAGGCACCTTACTGCTACGGAAAAGGACATCAGGGGACGATGCAAAGGACTTTACAGTCTCTTCTCAAAATCTATGGAATTGTCCTCTGCAACTGTCAAGCAGACTCAACGGGGGTGGAGCTTCCTTCTGCAGAAACTGAATGAAAAGAAGAAACAAGAAAGGAAGGACACGGCTGCTCCTAGGCTGGTGGAGGAGAAGGTTTATTGTAGAGAGAAGGGAGAGCATAGCAGAGGCAGGAATGCCTGGGAGAGTCTAGAGTGAGCATGACCCTGTGTAGGGCCACCTGTGGGGGGAGGGGAGGGCCAAACCAAGAGGTCAGGAGGTTAGAAGGCAGACCAAAGGGGCGGGATAACCAAAATAGCTAGATTTTATCAGGAAGCCCAGACCCTGGGCTGGAGAATTCAAGGTTGGGGGACGTGGTATGGCAGCCATATCCTGTAACAGGTAGAAACTGAGGGTTGCTGAGGGAACCTGAGGCCACTCCGATGTATTAAGCAGGCAGCTAAGTTAGCTATTTCTTTTGGGTTTGAGACCTAACAGAAACATATCTGCTGAAAGAGATCTCATGTGATATTTATCTTAAGTGTTAATTCAACAGCAAGTTAAAAAGATAATTTTAGCAAGAGTAGAAATACTTCGGTATGTTACCAAAATCTCAGAAAGTCCTGTGAATTGCTGGGGAGACTAGACTGTGTGTCATTCAAATCCTCTTATGCCTTTATACTCTGGATTCACTAATAACTAATAGCTTCAAATGTTAGGTATCATCGGTGAGAACTGATCCAGGCTGTTGATACCTATCCAGTGACTCCTCTTTTGTTAGAAAAAATATACACTTACACGCTAAGGTCCTTAGTGTTCAGAAGACCAAAGACTTTGTGTTATCAGTACTGGCGGGTAAGAAAAATTGAGTATTAAGATAATGAAAAAGTCTGATAGCCTTCTATGAAGAGGTCCAGCATGGTCCAAATATAGATGAAGACACTGGCCTTTTCTTAAATATGTGGTCTCCTCTGAGGTTTTATCAAAGGCATGTTTGCTGGTGGACTGCTTAATAAAACACAGTCTTTCTTCTCTTGGACCAGGGAGAAACTAAGAAACATCTGGAGAGTTGAGTCCAAATTCCCACAGCAGCAGAACAGAAGCAGAGGACCCCAAGGTCCCGTGTAAGAAAGGAGTGAGATGACTTCTCTGGTGACCTGTCATTGGGGATCATTCCTCTGTCAGGTGAGCATGCCTCTCGGGTGTGTGGCATGAGGCATATGCAGGTTGTCTGCAAAAGGTCTTTGATAGTGACATCGTAGAGAGGTGTGGCCTCTCAACCAACTAAATGCTTACTGGAGTCTCTGAGTATTGGAGGAATGAGGGATTTGCCAATACTTACACAATATCTAAACATGGTATTTGCTTTTGAGAATTCATCTTACACATTTATACAGAAAATGAGTGTCTATACATTTCACTGTTGAGTCAGGCAGACTGGAACACAAATACACTTTCAAGAGAAGGTGGGTTATAGAAAGTGTGCTAAAGCCTTAGACGTGACACAGGTCACAACTTCTAAAACAAGAGGCTTTCGGGACCCTGCTTCTCATACTGGGTCACTTTGTCTAGCCTTAGTACATGGGGAGTTGCTTAGTCTTACTGCAGCTTGACCCTCCACGGTCTTGTTGATACTCAAGGTCTCTTGCTGAGACCTGCCCGTTCCTGGGTGGAGACTGAGGAGGAGGGGGTTGGGGGGAGAAAGGGGGAGGATGGGGGCAGGCTGTGCCTGGGATGTAACATAAACAGATGAATAAAAAACAAAATAAAGCACGAGGCTTCTCCTCATGAGCGTCAACTGTGAAATACATAAAGCTGACCAATAAAAAGGCAAGGTTGACACATGCGTGGATTGCCCGCATTCGCCGAAACAGTGGTTGTCTCACCTCGTCCTTTCAGTATGTGTCTGGTCCATCTCATCAAGTGCAGTACCTTCTGAGACTGCCAGTGCACTCGCTACATACCATACTATTGTTCTCTAGGAGTTAGGGGTGCCAGAGCCTGCCGGTTTAACTGTTAGCTGCTTTCTGGAAATAAAAGTAGAGGCAGACTTCTCCATATGAGCAGTGGAGAAAGGGTAGGGAGGAAAAACCAAGCATTCTCACCCCAGGATTTGAGTAAACACATTTGTCCATCCTTCATCCATCCATCCATCCATCCATCCATCCATCCATCCATCCACACAGCTACCCACTCATTCATACATCCAATTACTCACTCATTTACTACTCATCTACCTGCTCATTCATCCATCCATTCACCCACCTATCCATTCATCCCAATCCACTTACACACTCACTTCATTCATTCATTTATCCACCATCCACTCACTCACTCTCCCACCCCTTCATTCACTCATTCCCTCATTCTTTCCTGTATCTAGAAGCAGGCCTTGGCTGGATACAGGAGCAGAGACCCATCCTGCTCCCTGGAACTTACACCTTTTCGGCTGGGTGTGCAACAGAATCCAGATGACGCCTCTGGTACAGGAGAGCGCACTGTTCTGCTGGAGGCCTTGACAGAGAGTGACTGCCTGTGAGAATTGATTCCGAGCTGGTAAATGAGCTTGAGCTACGTCCCAGCGTTTAGTGTCCTTGGCTTTAATCTCTTTAGTCTTCTTCTCAAAGTGCAGATTTCAGAAACTTTTCGTCTGTTTCTGGGAGGAGCAAATTAAAATTTCTACCATGTTGTGTTTTGTAAGTAAAATGTATACTGCAGCGATTTTTAAGGATGTGGACATGTGGAAAGATTTGCAGCATGCTCCTGTAATTACTGTGTTCTATATGTGTGTGTTTAAATATAAATGTTATTCATCAGCTGAGAATTTTATACATAAATACAATATATTTTGTCTATATCCACCTTGCAGGCTGGCCTCCAACTCCTCCCAGATGGCTCCACTTTGCCCTCAATTTCATGCTCTCTCTTTTGAGCTCACTGAGTCTAATTAGTGCCACTTATATGTGCATGGTTTTAGACCACCCACTGGCACATGGACAGCCGAGCAGGGGCCACATCCCTGAAGAACCCCCTCTCTACCCCTGGAGCCACTGACTGCCTAAACCTCCTCAGTTGGGCTAAGGCAGTACAATGTTTTAATCGCTTAAAGTAGTTCCCAGGAAAAACTGGTCTGGAAGGAGAGGCTGAGGAAGCTTATGAATGCATAGCACAAACTGGTGCCATCATATGTAAACAGCACACTAGATGATGCCATCATATGTAAACAGCACATTAGATGTTGAATTTGAGCTGTGCAGTTTTTACATACAAAGCCGCTCCTGTTTTGACCCAAAGTTCAAATTCCCAACAAGACTTAAAAATCCAAACTCTAGCTACAAATGGGAAGTTGCTCCCCACAAAGGTGCCTTTTGACCTAAAAACTAGGCCTCTCTTTTTCCCAAAAGCCCATTTTTGAGTCTAGAGAACAGACAAGTGTAACCTAGGCTGACTGTGGCAGCAGGCCGTGGACTCTGGAAACCTGGTCCTTCTGAAGATCACGGGTTAGTTGGCTGGCAGACTGACAGGGAAGACCTGGGGAGACACCCAGCTCGAGGTTCCAGGTCATGCCTGCACTCAGACTGACTCCTTATGGCAGGGCAGGCAGCCTCTGCTTCAGGGGCATGCGTCCCACTAAGCAGCGCTTTATGAGAGCATCCGCAGCTGAGTAAACAAAGCTGAGAACGGCCTTTCCTCTACCCAGCGTGTGCCTGGCCTACTGGTTTAGAGGAACTCAGCAAGTGCATACGAGTGCTATGTCTCAGAGGTCTTCCACGGGGAAGCTTCTGATTGCGCAGCATGAATTAGTGCCTATCATACAGAAATAGCACATTAAATGTCGAATTTGAGCTGGGCAAATTTGAAAATCTTACACAAGTTGTGTAAGTTAGATTTTCGCCTCTTGATGAGGCCTATTTGCATGTGGTGAGACGTTTTCAGGGCCCACGAGATTCTGAGAATATGGGAACTGGCACCCCGGCATACTTGATCGTAGAATGAGACAGAATGCTGACAATTCTGACAGATCTTCTATAATTAAGTCAGTTGCATCTAGTTTTGTTCTAGAATATACCACAGATTTGAATAGTACAGAGGTCATGCTATCGCGATCTTTGTGCTTAAAAAAACAAAGCAATGGAAAGCGAAACAAAGAAAATTAAACAAGAAGATTCATCAGCCATGAACTCAACAAAGGTCAAGGGTTAGGGTGGCAAATATAAGGAAGTCTGAGCAGTCAGAGGCCAGGAGTAATTGAAATGGGAAGCCTGGCTTCTTTTAATTTCTCATTTTTAATTTTTTTCTTCTTTTATACAATACATCTTAACCATAGCCTCCGCTCCCTCCAGCCTGACTTCTTTTGAGCAAGCTGGCACTTCACAAAAGCTGGTCCTGTAACAAGGCGAAGTCAATGTCATACCTTTTGGTGAAGCTTAGTATGTACGGGCTAGTGGCCCACATTCCCTGCAAAACATGCTAGCAGCTTTTCTTTTAATGAGGCTGTCTCTTTGAAACACGTTTTGTGAATACGTGTGTGTGTGTGTGTGTGTGTGTGTGTGTGTGTGTGGTGGGGGTATGTATGTATGTATGCATGCTCACGGGGTGGGTAGCACGCATGCGTGTGCACACGCGTGGAAGCCAGGGGTCAGCACCAGTTGTCTTCCTCAGTTCTTCTCCGCCTTTTCCCTTTTTTAAAACACGGCCTCACACTGAACCTGGAGCTCTTTGTCTGGACTGGTGGCCCAGGAGCCCAAGGGGTCTTAACTCCTCAGCCTGGGCTGCAGGCATGCGCCATGTCCCCAGATTTTACTTGGCTGCCAGGGATCAGAACTTGGGTCTTCACGCTTGCGAGACAAACACTTTCCTCAGTCAGCCATCTCCCCAACTCTCAAAAACTTCAGAATTTTATTATGGACAAGCAATTTTAACTGATAAACTCATTTTTGCCACTCTACCAATAAATTGTCCCCAATAAGTAACTGTCAACTGGTGTTTTTCATTGAGTTGACTGATAGCTTAAAGCATTTGGACAAACTGACTTCTTGTTTCTGTATTTAAATCATCAGAGCTAAATTAGCTCATCAAAGGGGCCACACTGTATGCTGACTTTCAGTGGCTTTCTAACTATAAAATCAGTTCTTATCAGTTGCCTCGGTTGATTTAACTAACAACTTTATTTTGTAGTGGTGGGATGTGAACTGCCCCACTGAAAAAGGTACTGAGCCACATGGCTAACATAGATCAGAAAAATGGGTTAATCAAGATGTGAGAGTTAGCTAATAAGTAGCCTGATCTAATGGGCCAATCAGCATTATAACTTATAGAGATCTCCTGTGTGATTGATTTTGTCTGGGACTAAACAGCTGTGGGGTACTGGGAGGCACAGAAAACACAAACAAGTAGGCCCCTCATGTTACATAATGGCGCCCATGTGGATAACTGCATCCACAGAAAGCCTGAGAAAGCTTGGGAAAGACTAGAGTAAAGCATTTCAGTTTTCAGCCGTAGCAGGAAAAAAGCTGCTCTGTTTTAAAATGCTGGCTTTCTGGGCCTTCTGGCAAGGGAAAACTCTGACTCTTTCAAGCAGGCGTTCCTGACTATGGAAACATTGTTGCAGCTTGCTTCCTGGTAAGGACCTTGAAACGCCATAGGAGCTTTTGAATGTTGTCTTCTCCACATTCCTTAGCAAATTAAAGACCCATGTGGTCAGAAAAAGAGAGATATACAATAAAGAGAGATTTAAAGAGTAAAAAAACCTCTAAATGGCTTACAGTGTGTTAAAAATATATGCAGGCTTGAAAAAAAATGTTTAAAGCCTTAAAATAAAAAAGAAAGAAAGAGAATAGTTGGGTGTGGTGGTACACACCTTTAATCCCAGCACTGGGGAGGCAGAGACAGATGGATCTCTGGGAGTTCAAGGATAGCCTGATCTACAGAGGGAGTTCCAGGACAAAGATAAGCAGAGAACCTGTCTCAAAAAGCCAAAAGTTAAAAGTAAAAATAAAAGAAATAAAGGTTAAAATAAAGCCACGTAAAGATGGAAAATACACAGAGAATCTTGATACTGTTTGCTATTATGCTCTCTTTAAATTGTTTAAATGCTGAGGAAGGAGCAACAGCTGCTAAAAGATATTTGCTTATAAATGCTGCAGAATTAATCCAAGATAGGTATTTTAAAAATACCTTGGCTTCAAAATTGAAGTCAAAAGGTATGTTACTTTGGAGAAGAGATTTTGCTTTTGTTTCCACAGAAACTGAGAGGCTGGATTTATTCAGAGTTAAGAAAAATCATTTTTGGCCAAGGGAGAACACCTGAACAATCTCTGGTAGAAACAGATGGCCCAGATGTCTGAGTTCTTCATCCAGAACAGCTTCAAGACTGCTGCCTAAGATCAAGACTCACAGGATACTTCAATTAGGACTTGATCATAACTCTAAATTTTCTTTAGGTCCCCATAAGATTATCAGTGCCCCCAACCAGCTGGAAGTAGCCTGGAATACTATGCCCACATTCCCAAAAAATGGACTATGAATATTTTCCTTTGTTTTTTTTTTTTTTTAAAAAAAAAAAAAGAGGGGGAAGTGGTGCGGGAGAATTGTCTGTATTCTGTCAATCATGTTTTAAGTAAACGCTGATTGGCCAGGCAGGAGTTGTAGGTGGGAAAACCAGACAGGAAGTGGAAATGATGCAAGGAGAGCAGGAAAATTCTGGGGAGGAGGAAGTTGATTCCTCCCTCTCCTGGCCAGATCACCGAAGCAGCAGGATGTGAGCTGCCCCACTGAAAAAGGTACTGAGTCACATGGCTAAAATAGATCAGAAAAATGGGTTAATCAAGATGTGAGAGTTAGCCAGTAAGAAGCCTGACCTAAAGGGCCAATCAGCATTATAACTTATAGAGATCTCAGTGTGATTTTTCTCTGGGACTAAACAGCTGGGGGTACTGGGCAGGACAAAAACCCAAACAAGCCAGCCTTTCATGTTACATTGTAGGCCTGTTCAGCTGATTTTCCCATTTTCTCCGATTGGTACAGAAAACAGCTAACTTTACTGGGATGCGTTAGCTACCTCTCTGCTGTCCTGATAAAATACCGTCAGATGTAGCATGAATTCCAGTTGGTCTTAATAATAAAAACCCAGAGTCAGATATTGGGTGAAAGTTGAAAGATCAGAGAAGTAAAGGAGCAGCCACTAGAGACCTTTTACCTCTTCTGAACCCTCAGACCAAAGTGGGCAAGATCCTGTCTCCACTAATTCTCAGAATTGGTACTCTGAGCTCCTGTCTCCTCCCGCCTTATATTCCTCTCTCTGCCCAGCCATATCACTCCTGTCTCCACCTCCCTCATGCTGGGATTAAAGGTGTGAGCTACCACTGCCTGACTCTGGTTCTTTTTTAGACTGGATCGATTTCATGTAGTCCAGGGTGGCCTGGAATGCACAGCGACCCATCTGCCTCTGCCTTCCAAGTGCTGGGATTAAAGGTGTGCGCCACCACTGCCTGGCCTCTACGGCTAGCTAGTGGCTGGTTCCACGCTCTGATCCCCAGGCAAGCTTTATTTGTTATAGACAAACACAATCACCACGCATCTTAAGGAAGAAAGGATTTATTTGGACCTACAGTTCCAGAAGGGTAAGAGTCCTTCATAGGGGTAGGCACGGTAGCAGGCCCAGCAGCAGGAGCCAGAGGCTAAGCGCTCACGTCTGAAAACGTAAACATGCAGCCGAGAGGGCAAACTGGATACGGAGAGGCTGTAAACTCTCCAGACCTACCACTTCTTCCAGCAATGCCGCGTCTTCAAATCACTAATTATGATCTCTCCCATTTCTAACACTGTGATTCTGTTTCAAAGAGGTGATAATTCACGTTGGAACGAATTTAGCAAGAAAAGAGGACATACCCACTGCTCAGGAGGATGGGTGCATTCTCCGTTCAGGTAGGCATAGTGGGTCACAGCACAAAAACATGGAGGGAGAACTCCGGTTTAGAATTCAAGAACTATTTATTGATCATCGAGCATAATTGGCATACAGAGAAGACACAGCCTGTGATGTCAGTTTCATCAGAGAGGCTTAAAACCAACTGACCAATGGGTAGAAACCAGAGAGTCATAATCGAAAATGAATATTTGTATCAAGACTATGATTTTGAGAGTGTTAGCTTAAACTCAGATTTTGTTTCTTTGTATCTAAACTTGGACAGTAATACCAAACTTACATTGTAAATAAAAAGAGCATACATATTTTTTGCAGTGATGGAAATGGAGCCCAGGGTCTCACATGCTAGACAAATGCTCTACCAATGATCTACACTCTAGCCCTATATGAAAAAACTCAAAATGCAGTAGAGACCTATCAAAACACTATGGGTAATGTATAGGCATCAAGCACACATACATGTTTGCTGCATAAATACAGATACAGCATATGGTTTATTCATGTGCCATATATACATACTATATGATATATAAGTATTGATTTCAAGAGAAGTAGAATATGATGGGATTTTAAAGGAGAAAGAACACAGGATTCTGGTGATGTGGCAAGTGTCAGGTATGTTATGAGATGGGACTTGGAAATCAGACTTCTAAAGGTGAATGTAAAGGGCCGAGGAGCCAGCTGATGCTTGAGCCAGGAGGAAAGGTATGTCTGTGTGGGAAGTGTGTGCATTGCTAGCAACCACAGTGAGGAAGAACAGACTCTTGTGTGGGTTTATGCCTTATCAGCCTGTTGAAATGGGCAAGGGGAAGGACAAGAGGGGTTGACCATCAAGGATGGCCATCAAGGAGTGGAGCATTAGATTCACATGGATGCTGTAGTCTTTGGTGTCAGGACCTGTGACTGTGTTACCTCACACAGCTAAAGGGCTTTCCAAGTGTGATCAATTTAAATATCTTGAGACAGGACATATAGCTAAGGTTTGGTTTGTGATCCAAACTAAGGCCAAAGGGGTTTTCTTATGATTGTAAGGATGGTTCCAAGAGCAGAGGACAAAGTCGGGTGTCGTTTACGATGTGTACACTGGCAGAGCTATCAAGGAGAAGGAACAGTATGTCTCAAGACACAACAGGGGATTGCCAGCTTTCTTCAGAACTGAAACTAGAAAACCGGAACTGGGCAACTCAGCTTCCAGCAAATGTTGACTTTGCACAAGGAAATGTGCCATGTGCCTAGTGTGTCTGGCTATATGTGAAAATGAAACCCTGTGCTTGACACAGGCAGATGATGTGGTGTGATTAACTAGGGTCACCTTTCATCCAGAGGGCTTTGGGATGGAGCAAGCTGGCAAGGAGGAAGGAAGACGGGGACAATGATATGAAGTTACTTTAAAAATGTGCCTGCAATTTCACGTACTGTACATTTTATCCTGTGTGTAGGATTGGGAAAGGAAGAACGGGTAGAGTTGAGTCATGCCTCTCTTTCCCAAGTTGGACACTACGTTAAAGATACAGATATTTCTGTGCCTGGCTTTGTCCCTTAGTGATGGAGAGGATTGAAAGGGTTGTTCTCTGAGTGTTAATTCTGGGCTAGAGAGATTCTGTGTGGTGTCTGCGGTGCCTGCCATGGCTCAGCCTGGCAGAGAGAATGGTGTCGGTGAAGATTTAACGGGCAGGTCTCCTGTTGGGAGCCCTGGTTCGGTCACTTTCTACAGTGACTTCCTGTAAATTATCAGCTATTTACAGCAGTGGAGTCTCCTTGGATCCTAGACTGACTTCAGACTAGGTGTGAAGCTGAAGATGACTTTGACCTTCTGATTCTTCTGCCTCCACCTTCTGAGTCCTGGGATTTCACTACATACCATACTCGGCCAAACATTTTATTGCTTCTTTTAATCCCCACAATATCCTTACAAATAAAGTACTATTATTACTTTTATTTTAAAGGGTCAGAGGCAAAGAGAAATTAAGACAGAAAGAACTGTACAAATATTAGGACATTGTAGTGATATTTCATTTGTATTTTAATAAATGAATCTTGCCTGAAGTTCAGAGAGTAAAACAGCCCCACTGGTCAGTCTTACAGTCCAGGCAGTGGTAACACACACCTTTAATCCCAGTAGCCACACTAGTTTGCCATATAAACTGGGCAGTAGTGGTGCACACCTTTTATCCCAGCACTAGAGAGGAATATAAGATGGGAGGAGACAGCTCTCTTACACAGCCGCATTCTGAGATTCCTGAAGGCAGCGTCGTCATTTCAGACTGAGGTAGAGTTAAGAGCCAGTGGTTGGCTGTTTTGCTTTTCTGACCTTCAGGTTAAAGCCCAATT